TTGGGATCTCCTCCATCAGTTTGTTCATCCCTGTTTTGGTACAGGAAACTTGGGATCTCCTCCACCAGTTTGCCTGTCCCTGTTTTGGTATAGGAAATTTGGGATCTCCTCCATCAGTTTGTTCATCCCTGTTTTGCTACAGGAGACTTGGGATTTCCTCCACCTGTCCCTGTTTTGGTACAGGAAATTTGGGATCTCCAAGGAAGAGGGAAGTCAGTGGGGACCTGCCGGCCCCACCTCTGCTCTGAGGAGAAACTTCCAAGCACAACTCCTGGATGGCACTGAAGGAGCAAACTGGCCCTTTTTTTAGCTTTAGGAAGGGTCTGGTCTTTCCCAAAGGATTTTCAGGAATACACACTCAATGCTGGAGTGACCCAGGAGCACCTGGGCCAGGTCACCTCTCAAGTGTTTTCATTAATAAACGAATTTCCCACTCAGTGCTGGGAAGCGTGGGCAGCACTGGGAAAGCAAGAACCAAGGGACTAAGAGGATCCTGCTCTCCCTGCAGGAACACCAGAGCTTTAGGAAACATGGAAGCAAGTCTGAGTGTGGGATCTGCCCACACACAAATGGACCCTTTGGAAAAAGGAGCCCCCGAGCACCCACGAGGCACCATCCCCTCACCACCTTATTGAACATTTTTCCACCAGTGAAAAGTGGTCCTTTCTGCCTGGATTTCCCTCAGTTGCAGTCTTAACTCCCAATTCCCTGGCTTTGCAATTCTTGCTGCAGGGATAAAAGAGGTTTTCAGGGCTGTGTTTACCCAAATATCACCAACATCCCATTCCCGATGCCGGAAATCCACAGGTGCCCTTTGGAGCCTGAGAACACCTTCAACAAACAGTGCAGGTGAGCAGGGAACACCTCCCAGGTGGAGAGGAGGGAAACCAGTGCCCACAGACATTCCCAGGGCTCGGAGGCAGCTCTGGCCCTGCAGCTTCACCCAAACCACCTTTAGTTCCTCCCTAGTTTCACAAAAACACAACATTTTCCGTGTCCGTGACATTCACTCCGTGATTTGCCTGAAGCTGATAATCCAGGAAATTCAACGGAAAAATAATCCCAACACAAGTTGCTGGCATCAGCCTGGAAGCGAAAATTTAGGGACAAAACAACCCAGAAGATGAACTTGGGCTGACTTTTCTTTCCAAGGTTCTACTCAGAGGACAGTTTCCTCCTGGCCTGCACCCATTTTACCCCATTTATACCCTAAATCAGTCTTTTTCTGGGTATAAACCATAATAATGGACAATTTCCACAGCACCTTGTTCAGTGAAAACTCTCCAACACCCGGGACTGAGCAAGGAAAAATGTACACATTCATTTCACCTTTTTTTGTTTGTTTTGGGTTTTCCTTAAACTTTCCCAAACAAATTCCTATAAAACAAGCAGTGAAGCTCCTGAGCATCCCACCTGCCTCATTTTCCAGCTGGTTTTGCCCAGCAGCTGGCAGGAAAAAGGGTGGGAACCCTTTCTTAAGGCTCCTCCTGAGGGATTCCCAGCTGCTCCCAGGCTGAGCGATGCCCCCAGAGTCACCAGCAGCAGACAAATTATAAATCAATTATAAAATAAAAAAAAATAATAACCTGTTTGTAGCCATGAAATAGGAAGTTTGTGCCAAGTCCTTGCTGGCTGCAAGATAAAAGGAAAAAGCAGGGTGTTACTTGCATATTCTGATAAACATTATCATATTTTGGTGCAAGGGCCACAGGCCACCCATGGATTAACACACTCTAGGCCACAGCCCCAGGGATTTGGGGAATTCTGTTCACTGAGAGCTTTGTGGAGTTCAGCAGAGCCAGAATCATTTAAAACTGCCTCTTTTTGGACGGTTACAGGGATGGAACAGCTTTCCTGGGAGGAAAGGGTGGGAGAATTGGGATTGTTCAGCCTGGAAAAGGCTCTGGGGTGACTCTCGTGTGACTTTTCAGGCTCCAAGAGAGCTGGAGAGGGACTTGTTGGACAAGGCCTGGAGTGGCAGGACAAGGGGGAATGGCTTCCCACAGGAAAAGGGGAGATTTAGATGGGATACTGGGAAGAAATCCCTCCCTGGGAGGGTGGGGAGGCCCTGGCACAGGTTGCCCAGAGGAGCTGTGGCTGGGAGGGTTGGAATAAGCTGTGATAGTGGAGGGTGTCCCTGCCTTTCCAATCCAACCCATCCCAGGATTCTGGGAAGCTCTGGAGCAGTCCCAGCTGGACATCCCACCCTGTTTTCCCAGCCCTTCCCTTCCCAGTTGCCCCTCACCTCGCACGAGCTGGGTGCACTTCACCACGTGGGTGTGGGGATGGTCAATAGTGATCTCAAACCCTGCAAGGACACAGACAAACCACCATCAGGACCAGCAGCACAGCCCTGGATCCATGTTTCCTGCTCCCCTTTCCCTCCTCCAGCCCTGCTCAGAGCTGGGCAGGAATAGAAGAGTCCCATTTTCCTGCATCCAGAAGCCTCAAGTTCTCCAGCCACAAACCCTGAAGGTTCTCTCTGGTGCTGCCAGACCTCCCCAGAGCTCAGGGACTTCTGAAAGGCCTCACTGGGAACAAAACAACTATGAAGGATTTTAAAAATAGCAGGACAAAGCCTCTTGGAGCAGCTGGGAGGAAGGAGAAGACAATGGCATCTGCTCCAAGGAATTTCTCTCACCCAAAAAGCTGAGAGGAAGCAGATTGTTTCCCTTTGAAGGGGCCTGAGGACAACTGAGTTTAATCCTCGCTCCGGTTTCCTCCCCAGTTTGGGAATTATGTTTTAAAGGGAGAAAGAATTCCAGTTGGTCCATGTGTGCAGCAGATCTGCAGAGTGTTCTAGAAGAACTGGGATGTTTGAAAAGGCAACTGGAGAACTGAGTGGTTGCAGAATTGGGCTCAGTTCAGCCACGGGTTTGTGGCCCACGACACCTCAGCCTGTCCTGAGAGGGGGACACACACGGGGTGTCTGCTCTGAATCCAGGCAGGAGTAACAACTCCTGCTCTTTTGGAGAGAAAATCTACCTAAAAACTGCCTCTGAAATGGAACATGTGTTAGTAAGAACAACTTTCAACAGCACATTTGAGAAAGGAACAGGGTACCAGGTCCACCAACCACCGCCCTACGTGGAGGCTCCAACTTCTACTTCCAAAAACTGTTGCTGGTTTGTTGGTTTTTTGGGGTTTTTTCCCCCCCCCCATTTAACTATTTGATGCAAATATTCACTTTTAACTGGGGTTTTTAGACATCTCTCAGCACAAACTGCTTCCTGCAACAGAATTAGAGCTTTAGGGGTTGGAACTAGGTGGTCTTTAAGGTCCCTTTAAACCCAAACCATTCCATGATTCTATGACTGAGCCAGAAAGCACAACCCATGACAGCCACCGGTGTCCAAGCAGCACAAATCCTGGTTTTTTAGGGGGAAAAAAAAAAAAAAAAAAAAACCAAAAGAAAAAAGAAAAAAAGAGACAAGCCACACTTAAATCTCTCTGAGCATTGAGCCTGGCACGAGTTACACCTGGAAAAACTGATGTTAAAACAAGAGTGGGGGTGAAAAAGGGGGGTTTTTGTCGCCTGGACTCTGGGGAGAAGACAGCAGGGGTCAGGCTCTGCAGCCTGTGGAATTCTCCTGGCTCTGGGATCCGTGTGGCAGCCCGGCCGCTTCGAACAACTTACCCAGGGTCTGCAGTATTATGCTCTCTAGAATGACCAGGTCTTGGGCTTGTTGCAGGTAAGCCTGGGGTTGAGAGGACAGGCAGGTTACTCACGGAGAGGCACTCGGATCAAGCCTGCACATTCCTAACACCCTTCTCTCCAGGGGAAAAATGGGAATCTCCCTGCACGGGGCCATTGGAAGTGCTCAAGGCCAGGCTGGATGGAGCTCAGAGCAAGCTGGGCTGGTGAAAGGTGTCCCTGCCCATGGCAGGAGGGTGGGACAGGATGGGGTTTAAGGTCCTTCCAACCCAAACCATCCTGGGATTGTGTGAAAGAGGGAGCAGAGCGTTGGGGTGGCCCAGGGTGCTGGTCCCCCACACTCCTGGGCTGGCACAGGAGCAGGAAAGGAATTAGCAGGAATCAGCAGCTATTCCTGCCTTTTTTTTTTTATTCTCCTCTCATTTTCCATAAGTTTCCCTGGAAAAAAGCTGCCCCTTCCAGCAGGACTGGCTGCCCAGCTCCAGGGCTGGCTGGAGAGGTGAGTGGGGGGACCAGCAGCGTTTTTAACCCCCTGTGACAGGCGTGGGGACAAACTGCTCCCACCTCTGCTCCACTCCTGGGCAGCATTCCAGGGACACTGGCTCCTACCACACCTGGCCCCAGGTGTGCAGCAGAGCAGAGCAGAGGCTGCCCAGAGCAGGGAAGCCCAAATCTCCCCGTGGCAGGAGCTGCTGGACTGGGAAGCTGCCCCCGGGAGGGTCGAGGAGCCGCCGGAGCCGCGCGATTCCGGAGGTAATTCCCACTGCTCAGAGCTCATCCCAGGGCTCCATCCCCACACCTACCTCGCTCTTGGTGTCCAGCAGAGGCTCCTGGGGGTGCAGACAAGCATGTGCCACCTTGATGACGTGCTCCAGCTTCCGGGGCTGCTCCTCCACCTTGGCTGCGAGGAAAAGCGCCGCCGGCACCACGGACTGAGGGGAGAGACACAAAAGTCACTTCAAAAAGTCACTGAACTCGACAACAAATCAAATAAATCAGGTGAATTCTCCATATTCTTCCAGGAAGTGAAGCCTGTGCAAGTCCAGCCACCACCAGGAGGGAGAAAAGGGTCTCTCTTCTCATCCCTCCCCCTTCCCAAAGTCCCTCCCCGGGGCCAGTCCCACCTCCCCAGAGCAGAGCTGGGGAATTCCCAGTGCCCCCTTTTCCCCCCAGATCCCAGCACTTACGTTCCTGTGGAACTGGGTGAAGGACTGCACCATGTAGAAGCGGTGCATGTACACGATAGCCGTGTTGATGGTGAGCTGGGAGCTTGAGAAGGGGGTTAAGGAAAGGCACAGCCGTGACAGAGACCCCCGGGCAGGGGGTTTCTCCTCAGGGGAGCCCTTGGAACTGATCCCACCGGGATGGGACAAGCTCTCCACATTCCCGGGCTGGGTCTTCCCTGCATCCCAGCACAGCTCCTCCCGATCCTAAAACGGGCTTTCCCAGATCCCAAAACAGGCTCGGCTCTCCTCACTCCCAGGCTGGGCCTTCCCGACAGCCCGGCATAGCTCTCCCTGCTCCCAAAACCCATTTCGGGATCCCCTCGACCCCCACACGAGCTCGGCTCTCCCGGCCTCTCGCGTCTTCCCTTCCCGGCACCTCGGCACAACTCTCCTCGTTCCCGAAACGGGATCTCCTCGATCCCAAAACGGGCTGGGCGCTTCCGGGCCGGTCGGGCGTTCCCGAGCCTTCCCAACACGCCAGTGCGGCTCTCCCCGCTCCCGAAACGGGACTTCCTCGATCCAAAAAACGGGGCTCGGCTCCTCCCGCTCCCCAGTCGAGCCGGGCTTTCCCAATAACGCCAGCACCGACCTCCCCGTTCCCGGGCCGGGCTCTGCTCAATGCCGGGCCGGGCTCTGCTCAACCCCAACGCCGGGCCGGGCTCTCCCCGCTCCGGGGCCGCTCCTTCCCTTCCCTGCTCCCGGTTCTCCTCACACCCTCCCCCGTCTCTCCCGACCCTCCCGTCTCCCCCCCTCACCGCGCCCTCCCCGCCCCGCCCCGCCCCGCTCCCCCCCACACCCCGCGGCCTAGCGCGGCCTAGAGCGCGGGCCCGGATGGATACACGTTGAGGCGCTGCCCCATGTCCTGCAGCAGGTTGGCCGCCTGCTGGCGGTACGAGAGCTCCTTGTCCGGGTCGAGCCCGGCGCGGCGGGAGGGGCTGCGCTCCAGCTGCTCGCGGCTGAAGTACCAGCGGCGCCCGGGCCCGGCGCCGCCGCCGCCGCCGCCGCCCGCCGAGGCCTCCATGGCGGCTCTGCGCCCGCGCGGGGGACGCGGCGGCGTGCGCACGCAAACGCGGTGACGTCACAGCGCCGGAGGGGAGGAGCGGGAGCGGCCGTTGGGGAGAGCGCGCGCGTTCCGGGGGGAAGGGGGCGGGGCT